AATATACCTGTCATGATTTGGAGTGCTTGCCAATTGTGCCTCACCTCATTCTCATTCTTCTAGTAACTTTAATCTCGTGGTTTGGCTCCACGGTTATTACCTGTCCTAAGTAGACATAGTCTTTAAGATTTCTAGTGCACTATTACCTATATCGAAGTGCTGTTCTCTTCCGAGGTTGTTGTACATTACTTTCGTTTTGCGAAGAATAACCAAAGAATAACTTTAAGACCTACCATTCAGCTCTCCTTGGGGAACTCCATAACTTTGAGTTACAATCGTGCGCTGAGTTACTCAGCAATGCAAAGTCATCTGCAAATCGCAGGTTACTAAGGTACTCTCCATTAACTCTTATCCCTAACTGTTCCCAATCTAGGCTTCTGAAAACCTCCTGTAAGCATGCTGTAAATACCATTGGGGAGATTGTATCCCTCTCCTTTTTACTTTGCTATATGGTCCCCAACTCGACGTCAAAATGATGACGCAAGCCTCCATTTCCCTCATTCGCTGTTCACTTCCTCTCGTCTTCGTGACCTTTGTGGACCGCTCACTTTTTGACGTCACCGACAGACCGCCTCCGTCCGGAGGATTTGGAATTTGTATATAATTGCACCACAGTACTGCTACTGAAATCGGACTTTCCGTTTACCGGGTACAGGTTCACCCAAATAAACAGTTAAATTCCAACGCAAAGTCTCCTGTCTTCGGCCATGTCACGACCCCGTGACACATGGTGGAGGTGCTGACATCTGGTGGAGCTGCAGAACCATATTGTCACGACCCCGTGACAATATGGTTCTGGAAGCTCAACGCTTAATGGCTGTAATTCTTGCTTACTAAGTTTGCGCTGAGGAGGTATACAAAGAGAGCAAATTGTGACTGGTTTGTTCAAGATAACAGCTTCGAAGGCTAGTGCCTCAGCAGATGTCTGAAGTTGTAAATGTGTACAAGCAGGTCCTGGATGCACAACAATGGCAACACCACCGGCTGAAGCGACTGCATCATTCTGACCCTTTCGAAATATAACTTACTGGTGTAGAAACTTTGTGTGCTTCGGTTTTAGGCGTGTCTCTTGCACACACAACACTTTGGTGTATTTTTTGAATATTGTCGAGCTATTTCCATCAGTGCACGCTGTGACGTTCCACTGTTATATTTGCGTCATTTTAAAGTTCTGTCGTGGTGTGTGTACAAAAAATGCTGCCTTAAAGGCCAACTCTGGCAATTTTTTGAGGTCAATGGCTCTGAATGAAATTTTCTGGGTACGTTTCTTTGCACATTTTCGTCATTTATGCCAAATTACAGTTTTGATAGATGAACTGATTGTTCACAAATGAATTTTAAAGATTGCCTCAAAAAGCTCACCTCGCTTGCCAGAATTATAGGCAACCCTGTCTCTGTGATTTCACGTTTAGCCTGTCAACAGAAGTGGCGCAGCCGAAAGCATCGCTACTTTGACCGCTACAGCGTTTATTGTGCGGCCACAACGCAACAGCGGCGATGTTTGCCACAGGTGTAGCACAGGAAAGCTTTCTTCCTCCCCCTGTGCTCTTTGGGCAGTCTGGCTTTCACAGTCTGACTTCGTAGTCTGACTTTCACAGTTTTCATACTCCGCACTGGCGGGACTCCGGTTTTCACCTAATTGTACGGCATAAGCAGACACGGCGCTTGGTTTGGTTTCGGTTTCGGTATTGCTTTTTCTTGCCTATTAAAATTTATTTTCAGATTTCCTTAGCATTCCAGCTATTGGGCTCAACAGAAGAGTGTCTCAGGAACATAGAAACAACATTACCTTGACATGGTCGAAAAATCACCGAAGTTGGCCTTTAAGTTACAAAGTACTTAGTAGGCCCTGTAATGGGTAGTACTTGTTATAGTGCGCTCCAAAGAGCTGCGCCTCTCCTTCGGCATCTCGGACGCCGGAGGAGTGGGACTTGTATCCATCACCTCTAGTGAGGTAGCGGATGGTGCCTGTTGGGCAGACACGTTCACGGTGGTTTTGGGCCTCATGGCGCTTGCAGTGGCCCGGGGTCTGGCCGACTGGGGAGTCTGCTAGCTCTGTTTGTCAGGTGGTGGAGCAGTACTGGCTGCTCTAGCCGGGGGCACTTGTGCTTTGGCGGTGATTTTTATTTATTTATCATCCGTTAACCTTCATTTTATCGATCTCATGTCGTAAACGAGAATAGGTCACAGAAATGTTTGAATAGCTCGGCAGAACACGATTTGTTGTTCAAAATACACGTACAGCCAAATCTTATGGCGAGAATTATTCAAATATCTGGGAAAGAGGACCATGTGAACAAGTTTCCTTAACAGGGACCAAGGATAAGTGTGAAAAAGCTCAACAATTATACAATAAGGTGCAGGGACACTACTTTAGGTAGCTCGCGATAGTCTGTTAAATACGTTTGCTTGCCCTTTTATTTCAGATTTGAAAGTATTAGACATGTATATCAGAACAATGCGCAGACTTTCCACATACGGTAAGAGGCCAAATTAAACTCCAACAAGGTAACCTTGATTTGATCACACAGAATAAACAGGCATTACTAAGTGTTTTGATAGAGGAATGCTTGATAGCGCCTAGATGTCTGACAAATGGTTAATATGGCGTTCCTAACGATGTTTCGGATCAGTTTAGTTCATACATTTTACACGTAATGCATTGAAATACTTTGGCTGTATTTGAAAGTCCCACTCCAGTTTGACCCTGATTGTTGCCTGAAAATGGGTCGATAAGCTATTCATGCTTTGCGCAGTGATAATGTGAGCACACACCTTGCCCGAGAACATCCCACAAGGAGCGCAGACGTTTTGCTTACGGGTAGCGAGCTTCGAATATGAGTTGATATCGCGGACGTTGCTTGATGACATGCAAACGAACGCAAGTGGTTCTAACATAATATTTCTAGGCAGTTACTTTGTGTTTGTACGCTATAGTGTCGTTTCTGAATGGCAGCGTCTTTGAGACTGAAGGTGGTTCAGAGTGCGAGTAGCCTTGAATGTACAGTCAACCACAAAAATTTACAGACCACGCGAGTGCTTGCCAAACTGCCTGTTCGTGCCACCTAGCGGTACGCCATCTGCCGTCGACCAAATTTCTGGGCCGGAAACGGGTCATCTTCTTATTTCCTGGCCTTTCACTTTTCTGCTGACGCATAGCGAATTGTTAGTTTGAGGTCGATGGGATGCGACGTAACCTCGTCGATGTGACGTCGTGATACATCGACGAGGTGGTACTGGTGTTATTGAACTAAGGTGATGCCGCCAAGAACACGATGGAGGCCATCCGCAGCCAGCACACAGAAAGGAGCAGTCATTGAAAGCCGTGGTCTACGTAGAAGACGTTTGTCGAGCGACAGCAGTCACCTCCCGGAGTAGGCGCATGAAGTGCCAGGCTTCGCTGTTGCGGCTGACGCTTCGAGGAAGTACAAGGAGTCGTAATTCAATATACAATCACCGGCCGAATATACAATTGACGACAATAAAAAATGCTGTAAATATGACTGTCCCTAGTCGCATAGTGCGAAAAAGTTTTCTAGGGAGAGTTTCAGTTCTACCCACTCTCCTACGGACATTATTTCCATAGGTTTTTATTCATACAACTCAAAAAGTGCATGTTGTGGCAAAGGGGGGGGGGGGGCAAAACACTAGTAAAAATGCCTCTTGGCTGCAGCACTGAAATTTTTCCACAAACATTGTTTCAACGCCTTTAGACAAAAATGTCCCTAAATTCAAGTACGACAACATTTAGTTTACCGGTATGTTAATGCAAGTAAAAAGCCCATAGTCTGTCATTAAATTGTACAGAACGTTCAAATGACGTTTAAAAAGACAACGTTCATTGCTGCGAGGGCCTTTCAATATTTGAAAACATGTCAGCTGAATTCCGCAAGCAAAAGGTACGAGATACCTATGTCTTGTAGAGTATCTAAATTGAATAAATGCATCATAAAATGTTTTACTAATCTTCAGATATACTTTTTAAATACGTCTCAAAACAAGAATAGGGTACTGAAGAATACTTATAAATTACTATCGTAGAGTTCTGGCACTGCGGTAATGCCGAGCCCGGCCCAGACTGCAGCTATGGTATTCCCGAAGGTAACAAAAACACTCATCGTGATATAAATTTACCCCCTTCACTTCGCTTGAGGTTCATATAACTTTTCTTTCCCAATAACGGGCTGCGTCACAGACCCAATCATCTCCGTCACTGCCATAGAACCATTTTTTATGGTGAACCACTTCTGCCTGCCCAAATATGAACTCTGTTTTTATTTTCCTTGCCACCCACGTTCATCCAATCATAAGCAGAACGCCCCGTGTGAGCGGTGGTAGCTTTAAGGTCCTAAGCGATGGCTGTGGAAAGTTAAATTTGCAGTATAAGCCTCGTCACCTCCTCATTCTGGAGAGGAAGCAAGAAGTTGGCGGAAAGTACTACGGCGACGCGTCCGTTCGCGTTCACGCCGCAATTGACACGGCGGCAATCCGCTTCACCCTCCTCCAGAAAGTGCACGTGGACGCTCTGGAGCAAAAAGACTTCGGCCGGTAGAAAACGGATTTAGGCGCCCCCAGTTATCATCACTGACGGCATCCGCAATGACCGTCTGGAAAGATAAGCGGCTGTAAAATGTTATTGGACCCGCCCTAAAAGCAAATGCCAGCGCGTTGCGCCGGCAGTGTAGCGACGCGTAGCTTTCCTTTTTTTTTTGCTGGGTGCGAGGGTTTTTTCTTGCTCAGTACGAAGAGTAACACCACGTTCAGTGTGGTGTCACGACTGTATAAGCCAGCCCCGGATGATCATATAAACGTAAATGCCGCGACGCGATCACATGCGGGAATCGCGGTAGTATTGTCGGGGCAACGTACTGACGAGGGAAAAAGCTTGCGCACAAGCTCCACCCAATGAGACAGCGTTTGCTGAGGAAGAAACAAGGTGATGTCGTCGGCGGGATGATGGGTGAGAAGGGGTCATGAGTGACGTCAGCTGAGGGCACGACGTCTATTTATAAAATCCGCAATCCACCCGTCCGGCACTGAGCTGTTCGGGCAGAGACAATTCACACCAGAATAACGGGATACCGAAGGTATTGCGGAAACGCCGCCTGGTAAGCATCGTACGTACTTGTCTGGCGTGCGTGTTAAGTGTATCATTCGTCGGTAAATGATTTGGCTCTCCTATCAGATATGTCAATTCGCATACTGTTGCGAATCCCACTCTTGAACAAGGCACCAATACGTGACTCTCGCGAGCAGCCCTGCTGCGGAACTTTGTGAACTTGCCTAGGTGCTTAGAGATTAATAATTACTCCCTTGGCTCCACAGCGCTCAGTGACTGTGGGGCGCCGAATTGCGGAAGCTGTTAGTGTAGCCTCGAAAGCATTATCGACTATAGTGGGAAAATTGCAATTATTGAACCCTAACTTCAAAACATGTTTGGGGCATCCAAAGACCAGTAAAGGTTTTGTCATGTACGCACCACAAACGCTTCAACGACAAGACGCTGAAGCGTGCGTTGCAATCTCATTAAGTTCACATGAAACTAATTTAGTGCATGCATGTTTACTAAATCATTCTCGAACGCAAGCGTGAGCAACTGCCATGCTGCAATGACTATGCCAGCTTTGCTGCAGAGAATTTGGTGGCATGTGTGTTTCGCAGCTGGGGCCGTGGCTTTGCGGTAGTAAATGTATGCATACGCTGGTATGGTGGGTGAGCCTTCCGATCCATACCTCCGGGTGCACAGCAAGAAGAAAAATGAGCGATTACCACCAGAGCATTTTTACGCGATATAACCAGTCGTACGGTTCCTTTGTGCATTACTGTTCAAAGTATCAGCAGGAGAAGCAAGGTAAACCCCCAATTGTTCCTCGGCCTTAGGCTTTTCGAGCAGTCACCGCTCGGGCGCAGTGTATAAGGCTTTAACAGTATGCTTAACATTTGAGAACCCTTATTATTGCGGTGCACTGATCACAAAGTGTAAAAGCAGATATATGATTAATTCATTGCGCATTTCGGAAAACAGACTAAGAATTACTGATTTGAATGTAGGGAGCCAGCGTGTTTTTCGTCTGCGCTTGCGCTGTGCAGAGTGAACGCCTCGAGATGTTCTCGTTGGCCGACGCACTCGAACCAACTACAAATATTTTCACATTACTAGCACCAGAATGGCGTGAAATCAGGCGATCAGTTCGGAAATAGAAATTTCGGACTAGTCTTACGTCATTAGAAACCATCCCATGCATATACAACGTGTTCTTTTTTTATATGCGCATTTTTCAGTTCAAATTCAATGAGAATCACGCTGCACTCAATTTAGCACACTTACCGTATGCCTAACAGAAATATTTTTCCGCAACTAAAATCACTTTAAGGAGACTAACAAAAAAAGCTATTTCATTGCGTCCGAATAGTTGAATTGTTGGCAGCAACTTGCCACGGTGGTCTAGTGGCTGACGCACTCAGCTGCTCAACCGCAGATCGAGGGATCGAATCTCAGCTATAGCAGCTGAATTTTCAATAAAGCCAAAAATGCTTTTACGCCCATAAGCATATATTTAGCTGCACGTTAAAATACCCAGGTGGTTGCAATTTCCGGAGCCCTCCACAACTGCGTCACTCAATGTGGTTTCGGGTCATAGAACCCCAACAATTGTTAAAAACTGGTGGCAGCTGCTTGCACCTAATTGTTGTAGAGCGCGTCAACTTGGCATGCCAATTTTTATTCTGAAAGTTGCGAGTTACTGGAGATATTCATGAGCAAACTTTAAGGGTGATATCTATACTGACAACTCGTGGCGTGGAGGTAAATTGGCCTCTGTTACGTCAAACCGGAAATAAATGTGAAGTGAAAGTGGCAAAACTTCAATGAAGCCATGCCATCTCCGCATCTTTTATCTTATTGTTGAAAGATAAAACTTTTGTGTCTCGTGCTTATGCGTTTCATTCGAGTTGAGTGCAAGAAAATCACAATATCAACATTTCCTGCCTCTGTGCAACATGAACATCATGCAAAGCCACGGCAGCGCCTCTTGTAGAGAGGCAAAAGAGCGGTTCGCTACTGTGTACTTTTAGGAAAGAAACGGACGAGCACCACACGTCACTCCTATAGAAAAGGCTCTCTACTGGTGAATTTCCGAATGCTTGCCAATTTTCTCGACCATATTGGCTTCAGAGAGCCTTGATTCAAGTTTTACCAATTTCTTGCCACCTGTCGTCCCAGTGAATCGAAACAAAGAGGTGGCATTTCCTGCCCTCTGGATTTGATAAGTTTTGATTTCACCTGTAAAATCGAATGACAAAGCACCCGCATTCTGTGCAATTATCATTATCAAGGTGTAATAGGTCACGCTAGTTTTCTAACTTGATGCCAGCTGCTCCCACGTTGGGGCCGAAAGGCCTTAAACCTTCGTCCATCTTGCTGGCCCATCGGAATGTAATGCGGAACTTCAATGAGATAGTTGCACCCATATATATAATATATATATATATATATATATATATATATATATATATATATATATATTGTGTAAATGATGAGGCTCAAAGACAACGCCCGTTCGCTGGACTAGATGTTCTTTATCAGACTTCGTTCTCTTTCTCCTCTAGCCGGGTATCGCCCATGCGTGAGAGCACTGCTTTTGTCACCATTACGCTCGGCCACGCTACGTCTTGCGTTGAAACTAAGGTGATGATGGCTCTGGTGGGTGCCATTGACGTTGTCGTGCCGGTCCTTGCGTCTTGCTTTGAAAGTTGGGAGACAATGGCTCTGGTGGACGCCATTGCCTGTTTTGCAATGGTCGTCGTTGTCCCGCAGGTCCTGAGCCCTGAGTTGCCATTACCGTTACTGGCGGACGGTATTGGCTGTGTCTGTGGAGTATTTCTCCTGGACATCTTGACTCGACTTGTGGGGCTGTCAAACATTTTGGTGAGTGACCTTGGCTGGCTATCTAATGGTGGCCGCAGCACGCTTAGCAGGCAATGCAGTTGGCACAGTTTGAGGCACTGGTATTCATTGCCGTGGGCGTTCTGGACAGGCTGCGATGCCCAGCCATCATAATTTGACAGAGCAGACTCTGCAGTGCCATCTCTGCCTCCTCTTCTTCTCCGGCCGCGAGGAATTAACATGTTTCTTGGTGGTTCTGTACCACGGTGTCCTCAGAGGATAACGCAACCATAGCTATCCATCACGCTTCAGACACGAGAGACGTACGAAAACATCGCCTCACTGCTCCGTTCAAGCTGGTCGCCGTCTGGCCGATCCGTGTCTGATTCCTGCTTGACGCAGACAGCCTCCTCGCGATCCGCACGCCATTCCGATGGTCTCGAAGTCATATTGCATTGCCCGTGATCATAAGTAGGGCTGTACGTGAGGAGACTGAAAGAGCTAACCTTGACTTCACCTGCTTGCGGCGCATCGCTACCGTTGACCAGGGCGCGATTGACAGATACCGATAAAACAGTCATATTCTCCGATAATATGCCTTCGGCAGCCATAGAATAATAAAGTGAACCACTTGCACAGTCGGCCGATCACTGCCGTATAGTAGGCAAATCCCCCCCGCACGTGATCACAGAGTCTGCTCTCCCCGCTGTACACTTGTGAACGTAGTCTTCCGACTGGGGAATCCCCAGAAGAGAAAATTCTCGGTGTTAAGCAGCGGAGCTTTACTCGTCCACCATATATGGTGAGCTGAACTTCACTAGACAGAGGGTAATCAGCTCCTAAAACCATGTAAGCATGCAAATCTTCGACGTTGGGAACTGCGGCAAGGAACTTACTTCCGGCTTCGGTTTGTATGTGCAAGTCCAGCGCACCGACAGGCATAGCGTTCCCTTCGACACCAAGCAAGGGTGTCTAGGACCAAGACTGGAGGGAGAGTGGGGCATAGTGTCGATGCAGTGCAGTACGTGAAACTCCTGTTTGTATGACTGCCGTAAGCTCGCTGATTCTGTCGACGAGGACTTGTGCCGTAGGAAGCGTCCACCTTGGGTATTGGGCAACACGATGTCGTGCATGTGTTGGTGCCACGTTGTCGATGTAGATGCCGAGCATCGGTGAGAGAACATTTTGCTGGACTGGTTGTGGAAGCAATTAGAGTCTGGTTTTCATGTGTGGTACGAATTCGGATTATCCTGTCAGTGAGCTGAGCTGTTTAGCTGTAGTCTCGAGAATGAGCCCCTTCTTACCTTCACTCTGGTTGGGCGCGCATTTGTGTCACATCTCGGCACCACCACGAAGGTGGGCGATGGCTACCTGCCATTTATAATTTTTGGGTCAGTCAAGTCTCGAACCGAGGATATTGATAGTCGCCACTCACATATCGGCGTAATCTTGGAAGACTGGAAACTCCGGTACTTCCGAAAGAGCGGTATATGGGGAGGTACACATACACATGGAAGGGGTGGACAGACCTACGCCTTTAGGAGCTTCACCCCTAAATAACACAAGAGATCCAACCGTATTGCACCTGATCAGCCACCCCATCATCGTAGCGCATGCGTGACACTGCAGAGAAGAACAGGACACTCCATTAATTGAGCCTCTCGCCGTTTCAGCAGTTCAGAGCGCTGGTTTGCACATACGCTATGATGGTTACTAGTCGCCAACTCACACAAATATCTACGTTCCTCAAATTTCGACCCGACGATAATGTGTTGCTTTTCGTTAGAGGTATTCCATGAATATTAGAAGTCATATCTACCTAATTTGGCAGAGCGCACCGTTGGACCACTCTGCAATCTATGAACATTGAAAGAATAAGCATCATAACTGACGAACACAAAATGAGGAGCGCAAACAAGACAGCCACTACTCACAACTGTTTATTGTTGTTATACCCACCAAGTTTAATTATCTATAATTTTTGGTGAGGCACATGTGTGACATCACCATGGAAACTGATGTAAAATCTCTTGATTTACTATAGTTGCTTTTCACTATCTTTCAATGCGATGTCACGCATGTGCAACACCATGAGTGTATCTAGTTATACTCGTTGGTGTAATAACAATAAACAGTTGTCAGTAGCGGCTGTCTTGTATCCACTCTTCTTTTTGTGTTGATCAAATTTCGCACTTATTGTTTCAGTGTTCATATAGCCGTATC